TTCAGTCTAAATTCACTCTTTCTTCTAGCTTCAAACTTACTAACTCTCTTCCAATTCTATCTTCGCCATTGAATTCGCCTTGTTCCAAAACCTCTACTGTGAGTCGTTCCCCACTCGATTCTATCAAGAATCGAGGGGTAACTTGATTCTTCGGCCTCGCTGCTCTCCCCTCCGCCATAGCCCAGCGCAACCCTGCTTTCGCACTAACTCCCTAAACACTAACTTTCTAGCCTATCTGCCTTCAGATCCGGGGTCGCCCACCCCGAAAATGCCAGTCTCGACCCTTCACTCACCCGTTCTTGTTAGGAAACAGGCAAGATCTGTGTTTTCTCCTCTCCCTTCCCTTCGGCACTCCGCCATAGCCACCGCGCAGCCTAACTCCCTACTAACTCCAATCCTACTTATTTTCTACTAATTCTAACTTCACCATCGAGGTTGCCCTGCGCCAAAACCCCTATTCAGCAAGTTTCCTCGTTCGTTTTCGTCAAGGAACGAACGGGGCAGGTGCTTTTGTCTTCCGCCATATCTAGCCTGCACCCGGTAGGGTTCCCGGGTCAGGTTCATTCACTTGCTCACCTGTTCTCCGCTGCCCGCCTACCTGCCTACTCCGCTTGCCTTCCCGTACCCGGCGCCCATCCCCGGCGCTCGTCCCCTTAACGCCCGTCTCCTACCTCCTCCACCTTCGCCCCATCTCTTTCCTTGCTACCAGGCGGCCGGCGCCTACGTTCACCCCCGTCCTCATAGCTGCTTCCTTCGACTGAACCCGGCGCTGAAACGCACCCGGATTCACTCTGTCTGTTGATTCCTCCGCCCTTCCCTGTCTCTGTAACCCTTGCCGCAGCACCCGGTCACACACCGCCCGATAAATTGTTCAACAGCTCCAGCTATCCTGAGCGAAACTTTGGAGGGCATCTGCTACTAGACGGTTCGATTAGTCTTTCGCCCCTATACCCAAGTCCGACGCCCTCTGTCCGTTTTCCCTCTGGCCGGTACCCGCCGTTCGACGTCTACAGCCTGTGCAGCGCTGCCCCACTCCGACCCTGCTTTTGCATGCACCCGATGCAATCCCTTGGCTAGGTTCGTCGCGCGCTGCATGCTTGGCGCCGTCCGGTCGGACCCACACCCGCTATCCAGAGGTATGCCCTCCCGCTCTCCTTGAGTAGTGCTGAGCAGAGACTGCCCTGATGCTCATAGGGGACTGGACCGGAGGCGAGGCATAGCGACTGGTTTATCAAAGAGACCCGGCCCCGATGCCACCGACTCGCCCCTCGCCGGAGGCTTGAACACGAAAATGATTGCCGCGGAAGTCCCTGAAATCCTATAATCGGGGCACTCCGGTGCTGTCCCGAAAACAGCTTGCGTCCCTTACTCATGCCACCCTGCGAATACAACACACCCCCACGCGGCCATACATTCGGCATTACCACCTCCTTCGTCTCAAGCGCATTTTACAGACTCGAGCCTTGACCGCGCCGCACTTTCTTAGCAACGGCGCGGCCCGCGGACCTACCAAACGAGGCCCGCACTCAAGGCCCTTGACTGTCATGACGACCACTAAGTCCGGCGTCACGTCCAAGTCAACGGCACGCCGGAGTATATTTATAAGAGAAAAGTAATGGACGTACGGCGCCAAAATGAATTATTCAGAAATTGCCACCACCAATCCGACGTTGCTGACGGCAAAACCAAAGGGGATAGCCTCGCCGGGCCCTCGACCCCCCGGTTCCTTCGCGTTACTCTGATATTCTTGCACCGTTGCCGCTCGGCCTCGATCCCCGAACCTCCGTATCACCAACCCAATGTCGTAACCTATAGGGCTAAGCCCAAGCCTGAGACAAATTTCCACGGAGGGCCATATATGGCGGTGCGGCGCTGCGCTCAGGGCCAGGGGAATAGGCCTAAGCCTCACCCCTGCCTACAACCATGCGCGAGGTCGCCCAGCGTCTACGTCGACTTACCAAAGCCGTACCACGGCCGCCGTCGTCCGTGCACGCGCGCTCGCCTCGGTCAAAGTACCAATCAGAAAAGAGATATCCCTAGTTCCTGCTTAATAAATAAATATTAATAATATCATTAAACAAAACTACCGATGTCCGCGCCGGCTTTATGATCAACAACAGAAAAGAATGACGCGCGCCTTGAACCTGCGCGCCCAGGCACCCTTTACTCTAGTTGACCACCCAGTCAACGCAAATTACAGACGTGGCCGAGCCTAGCGCGGTATAGTTGAACTTTAAACCAAAACTATTTTCTGTCGTTTGCAAAAACCAGGGCGGATAGCCTTGTAAGGGTATTCGCGCCGACAACGCGCCGATCCGGGCCGCCCGCGGTCCTACTGGCCCGACGGTCCGGATTTCCATGCGATCTTAAGACTTTAAGATCGTGCGACGATCCAGGCCATCCGACAAAGCGGACGGTCTGAATCGCCACGGTCATTGCCGATAAGGATCTGCTTTCTGCCCAGCTGGCAACATTGACCAATGCAGTCAAACAAAAGCAACTTATGACCATAAAAGATTAAGAAAAGAGCGAAGAAGAACCAAAGCCTGAACCAGTCAAGAAACTGATGGGAGATGCAATGAAGACCCCCCCCAAAGAGGAAACCCCGAAGAAAAAAGTAAGAAGGGAGAAAGTGAAAACGAAGCTCCCTTTCACATTTTTACCAGAAAGAAAGGAGAACACCTGCTATTGTGGATTGCCCCGGTTCGAACATATTGCTCGAAAACCCTGGTAGATGAAGATAGCTAGGTGGCGTTCACCACCCCTCATGTCTTGGCGAGTACACCAAGGCATGGGTACTGTTTGAAGCGAATGCCGCCGGATTTGAATTTATTGGGGATTGGGCAAAGACACCAACTTTGAGAGGATTTATGAAGAAGACTAAAGAAAGATTCCTGTATCAGACCACAACAAATAAGGCATTTGACCAACTTACCGCAATCAACTAGTGACATTGGACGTCTGTGGATGCTCTCTCTTGTGAAGTAGATCGTCTGATGCAGGTACCAGGACTGAACATCCACGATGATCAGGTCATGTACATCTATTCATGAGCATGAACCAATCCGTGGACAGCTGGTTGCTGAGGCAAAATCAGGTAAGTACTCATATAGACAGTTTCGGGATCTCGCTTTGCAGCGAGAACAAATGACATCACAGGTGAAAAACACCTACGCTGGGGTTACTAGATCAGGACAAGGGGGAGGATCAGCGAAAAGAGTTATATGGAGGCAGAAAAGACAAGATCACACGCTCGTTGTGTTCGACGATGGCACAATGGAGAAGTGGCGTCTCCAAGGAAGCGAGGGACAGGTAAGTGCGGGCGGAGAATCGAGAAAGGGTGATGTCACTGCCGTAGTTGTCAGCAAGGGTGGCAACAACAATGGAAATGGATATAGGAGGAGACCACGTTCCTTTCCAGCTCATCCTGGCATAGGTGTCGGGAAGCCTTGGTTAAATATAGGCATTTTTGAAGGCACATGGCAGGAGAGAATGGACAAGCATCAGTGCCCGAAGTCCGACACTGCAGGGCATAATAATAGCATGGTGCCCTTTGGTAACGAATCCAAAGGGAGCAGCCACTAGGAGTAGCATCTGCTCGTACTGAGCCAAAAGGTGGAGACGTAGAGCCGGCGCCGGAAACCCCTTTCCACCCTTCAGGCCCTATGGCAGAGGATGCCTCTTCCTTGGCCCCTCACTCAGATCGCCCTGAACCTGTAATGTGTAGAGTTCCTCTGAGTGAGACCCTTGATGAGCTTGGAAATGAACTGATCAACTTATGAAGCTCATGGGCTAAGAAGGCGAAGTCTAAGGGTGAGTTGACGCTAGCAAACATAGAAATCGTGAGGAGACGGACCGGTGCTCTACTAGACCCGGGCTCTACTGGATCCTACATATCCAAGGGCGCTGTAAAGAAAATGCACTTGGGTTTACAAGTAAAGAATCTAGCAAAGCCTGTTGTCTCTATGTTGGCAGATCAGAGTACCATCACGGTTTCCCAGTGTGTGGAAAACGTGAAGTTTTACTTGAGGACACAAGAAGGTAAGCGTATCCTGCATGAAGTAACCTTCCTGATTGAGAAGAATCTGCTGTTTGATATGGTCTTGGGAACGGATTGGCATGAGGAAGCAGACCCCGAGATCAGATATAAAAAGAAATATGTGAAAATTAAGAATCAGAACAACAAAGTGAAAGCAATCTAACTGTATGACAAATCAGGTTTGGACTCTGCATTGTCTTTCTGTTGTATGAGTCTTCCTGCATTTCGATCGATGGTTGTGAAGAAGAAGTTGGCGCAGGAGGTGATGATGGTATTAGTAAAGACCATTGGTGAATGTTCCTCCTCCTACCCTCCTTTTCTATTGAAAAACTACTCAATGAATATAAGGACCTGCAGGATGAACCAACGGGGGTAACTGAAAGGAAGATAAAACATACCATTGAGATTGTTCCCAGAAGTAAACTCCTAAAGGACCAATCTATCGTATGTCCCCGAAGAAACTTGATGAGTTGAGAAAGCAACTGCAGGAACTAACTGATAAGGGATGGATCAGACCTAGCTCTTCTCGTTATGGGGCTCCTGTTTTGTTTGTTCCCTCCATCCATCCATCCATCCCTCCCTCCTCACATTCTTTCCTCCCTTCCCTCCCTCTCCTCCCTTCCCTTTCTCCTTCTCTCCCTTTCTTTTTTCCTTCCCCTCCCTCTCCCTCCTTCCCTTCATTCATTCCCTTTCACCCTCGTCTCCCGTCCTCTGTTCCATCCTTTTCTCCGTGCCCTCCCTCCTCTCTCTCCTCCCTCTTGTCCCTCTCCTCCCTCTCCTCCCTCCCTCTCCTCCCTCGTCTTGTTACCCCTCTGCGCTCCCCTCCCTCACTCCTCTCTCCTCCCTCCGATGATCTTTGTCTCCCTCCAACCGGCTCTCCCTCCCTCCCTCCCTCCCATCAATTACTATGTTCTGTAAACCTTGACTATGTTTTTGTGTACGGTGTGGTGCAATGCTGCAGGGGTCCCGTCAATACTCGTTGAGAAATCAGAGAGATTCACGACTCATCCTCAGGCGCACTTCATAAACAATCGAACCATGGAGGTTTGCTTTGACTCTTTGCACTCACTTTGTTTTTCTCTCCATGAAATCGCTCTTTGCGTCTTGCATTCACATTCACGCATTCAATCAGTGGATTTGCGAACCAGGGAGTTAGTACCTTGCATGTGATAAAATACCTCATCAATTGTTAATCAAGTACTTCATCAAATAGCGGATCAAATAATCACTCGAATACTGCATCGAACAGTCAATCAAAATGATGAAATACTTGATCACATGATTCACATCCTTTTTTTTTTTTGGGGGGGGGGGGGAGACAATGCTCCAATGTATTTGTGGGCAGCCGCACGTGCTGGGAACCGGGCCCAGCGTCCCATTTGAAACATGAAACATATTTGAGAACATATACAGAACAACTTTGAGATACCGGGGCTTTTACCCGACTTTGTCTGAGAATAGGATCATGAGCAGGGTTGCACACCCCGACGGTCGGCGGCCCTTGACTGGTTGGCTGCCGACCCGCCGACCGATCGGCTGGTCGGCACCTAGCAGTCGGGGATCATCGGCACCCGACACTCTTTTTTTTTTTTTTTTGGGATCCAGAAACCCTAATAACCCCACCCACACCCCCATAGCGGCCCCCAATACCCACATACACCAACCTAACACTCCCGAACCGCCCTCAACATCCTTATTAATGCCCCCAATATTCCCTATATCACCCCTACACTCCGCCTATACTCCAACCCATACTTGCGTCATATCGCGTGCGCGCAAGCTCCGCATGCGCGGCACATAACGCACATGTAAGCATGCACGCGCACGTGATGTGACGCACCCCACTAAATAGGGTATAAATTTACTATAAATTTTTTTTGGAGAAGGCTGGCTGAGGTAGCCAATGGTGCACCTCCCCACAGAAAAAAAAAATAGGGCCCACGTATTCCTTTTTGAATAGTCTTTTTCGCGGAGGACCCCAGCAGTACAAATGCAAGGGTCCCAACATCTCAAGAGATGTTCAGCAAATTTCGCATGAAAGAAGAGCAGGCCAGCAATATATGTTCTGGATCCGAAGTCAGGTCTGCTCCCGAGCAGTTATGGGTTACAAGTTACAACTACTTATTACCGTAGCTCTCTCTTTCTTTTGTTTCTTTTTCCTACGAGCAGTGGCCCTAAGGGCCT